GAGGCGTCATCGCCCTCCTGAGCAAGTGTTACCAGAAGGTTTTCAGACATCTGTAACCCAGTCAAAGTTACAGCAAATCTCCCTCTCAAGGTGGACATGTCCTGCCAAAACTCCGGGCTTGGGCAGCACTTTGTTTTCTCAACAAACCAAAGACAAGAATGCTCAAAACTACGCATGTTTCCCAAATCTTAGCCACAGAGAATAGGACAATTACAGCTGAAAGTTTCCAAAAACACAGAAATGCCTGAGGCAGACAGCCCTCATGGAAACCCTTAGCTCAAAGCGCTTGACAGAGATGCGGAGAGAGGTTTTCTGCTGGGAGGTGCTGCCCATAGGCGTAGGTGGGCTCCCAGCCCCTGCTCTGTGCCTGTGGTGCTATAGGGGCAATGCTGCAGACATCTGCAGGGCCAGCGTCCTGCAGACCAAGCTCTGGCAGCCCTCCCAAGGCAAATATTCCCATACTGCTTTCCCTCTCTGGGACAGAGCCCTGACGAGCAGGGTGAAACCTCTGTGCAGCCACTGTTTTCTGCCCTTCCAGCCCTAAACAGCAGCCCGGATGGATTATTTTCAACACCAACATCTATTTACTGGCCTGAGAGGGGCAGGATAGCAGCACAAACTTTCTTTTCTCAGCACCCAGTCCTTGCTTAGTGAATAATGAAAGAGCAACAGGCAAGAAGAGGGAGAATAAAGGCAGCGTGGCAGAGGCTGGTGTGCAGCACGCGGAGCTGGGCACCAGTCCTGGCTGGGGCTGTGCCAGGGTGGCCCCGTGCCCGGCTCTGGTGTGATGGGAGATGCCCTTCCTTTGTGCTGGAATGACAGGGGCTGGAGAACTGGATGTCCCGTTTCCCCCCTGAAATGTAAAACAACTCCTGACCATTTTTACTCGTTTGAAAAAGCAAGTGTTTAAATGCTGCACAAACTCCAGGTCGGATAGCATCATTATGGCCAGCTGAATGGTTATGGTGGTTTTTAATTAAACTCATAATTCTTTTTGATTGCTTGCTCCAGGCTTTTTATGCAACATCAGCAGACACCAATAAACCCCTAAGAGGTCTCAAGGGTAAGATAAAGATAAGGTAAAGTGCTCGGAGATCCATGTGGCCACGCTGCAATTGTCATTGCTCTGCACCTTTTATAGCCGGGTTAACTGCCATAAAAGCATTCGCACAGCAGATGTCGGCTATTCTGACTGCAAGCAGGTGCATCTGCCAGGATGGTTAATCTCCACTGAAATCTGAAGGGTGATGGCTCCAGAGCAAGGGTAATGAGCAGTTTGGAGTCTTGCTTGGACTGTCCTCACTCTGGCTTGCCTAGAAGTCTGGAGAAAGCAAGAATTAAACTAATGGGTAGGTGCGTGCGTGAGTCCCACATCCACTGGGAGCTGAATCCACAAAGTTCAACGGTGTTTTCAGCCCAGATTCTTCTTCCCAGTTTGCCTCTTAATTACCCAGGATCAGCACTGGGTTGGATGTGCCATCTTAATCCACCCCATATCACCAGTGTTTCTGCAGGGACCGGCTGCAAGTAACCAGGCTGGGTGTTATTCCCTGGGCAAGGGAATCTCAGGACACCATGAGGGCAGAGGGATGCCCTTGAAGAATGCCCTTCCCGTTCCTTTTCCCCTTCCCCATCCTGGATGGATCACAAGTATTCAAACTAATGTCCAGGCATCATGGGGTTCACAGCACCACTTCCAGAAAGAAGCCTGTTTGATGCATGGCACATTTGGGGTTTTGGAAAAATTTATGAAGTGCCTGACAGCTTTTTCCAGGAGGACTTTGAGTCGATTTTCTTCCAACAGTCTGCATTCAGTTATAGTTCGGAATATGTGATCTCATGGTGTTTGTATTTATACCTCTCACAAACCCTTTTTTTTTTACAGCATCGGTGTCTATAGGTTACTGTGAGGCACCCGGAGGAGTCACCGCAAGGTCACCCACAGGATGCCTCCTCCACGGAGCACATCAGTTTGGCTGCAGGACAGCTGCAGCTGAAGTCACTTTCTGTAGCTGTGAGGTGAAAAAATGCAAGCAAGGGTTATTAAAGTGATGAAATAACACAATAAAAAGGGAAAACACGCTATAGGAAAAACACCCCTCTGGCTGGGGGCGGTTACTAGGGTTCGATAGTAGAAAGGGGCTTTTCCATCACCTATTCCTGCATTCAAAAAATGTGAAGTTCACCAAGTAAAAATCTCAAAAGACAATTTCTTTCATGAGTTCTTTAAAGAGCCCGTGATGTCTCATGGATAAACATTTCCTTACCGAGATATTTCTGTAACTGGTCTAAAATTCTCTGTCTGTCCTGGGAACATCCCATCCCAACATAGGTTGCCCTTTGACACCTCACAGTGCCACAGGAGGCAGCAAATCGGCCTCATGCTATGCAGGGGCCACTTTCCTTGACAAAAAGAAGAAAAAAAAAAGAGTGGGGGGAAAGAGAAGGAAGCCAGGTACCTCTCAAAATCATGTTTGCTTCACTGAGCTGGGACAGAAAAGCTGTCATTGCAAACAAAAAGTCACCTCTCATCCAGAGGAGAATGGAGCCAGCCCTTTTCAGGGAAAAGCCCTGCATGGTCTAGTAGCATGTGAGATGCTGTGGGGCTGAGCTTTGCATAATGCTTCAGACCCAAGGTTTGAACCATGTTGTACCACACCAGCAATAAGCACAGGAAGAGAAACACACCAAATCCCAAACGAATCATTGCTGTAAGGGGACTCACAGCACCCTGAACACCCAGAGCTTATAAGAAAAAAAAATATATTTATTTGACTCCTTTCCCCTATTCCTTCCTTCCTTCCTTCCTTCCTTCCTTCCTTCTTTTCTTTTTTCTTTTCTTTTCATGGAAGACAGCTAGGTGATAATACAACCCTTTCCAGAGCTGACTGCTACTGATTATTTTCCCTAGTGGAAAACCTCAGCCCTCCTCTACTCATTAAGGCAGTCGGATTTGTTCAGCCAACAGATCAGAGGCGTTCCAGCACCCGCTGGAAGCAGTGGTAGCTTTCCCATTGACTTCAATGGGCACAAACATTCCCAAAACTGGAAACCCCAAATTACCTGCATGTGTTCTGCACATTTCTGAGGCCTTCCAACCACTAATAAGACCATCGTGTTGCAATAATAAGTACAGTTATGTGAAACATTAGTGAGATTGTGTGTCTCAGCCTAAATCCTGGTTTACTCCAGTTGATTGGAGAACTGCCATAAATAAATCAGCATTTGGCCTCAAGCGTGCCAAAAGCTAAGGCCATCTTCTTCTGCCTGCTGCATGCACGTGGAACAACCCTTGGCTTGGGTCAGCTTTGAGGGTATTATTCAATATTATGATTTCTACATCTGCCCAGGGAGTTTGAAGGCTTCCCACTCACCTCGCCCCGAGTCTCACAGCTATGATGGGTGCGAGGGGGGAGAAGGAAGTTACAGCACCCTGTAACAGCAGCAAAATGCACCCTCAGGGTAAGCATTCGTAATTTGTGAGTATTTTACCCTCCTATAGCTTGGTGCCACAAGCAGTGGCAGCTGCTTAGCTGGAGGAGCAGCATGCACTGGAGGAAAAAGGGGGACAAGCTCTTAGCTGGCTTTCCTGCCAGATGGATGGTCCCTGTGCAGGAAGAGAAGGGAATTAGTCTCATTACCCTTGCCTGTTTTTTCTGGCTCTCCTGTAAGGCTCTGCTCCAGCTTGTAGCCCTGCTGAACAGAATAGCTTATTTCCATAGGCACAGCACAGGTTTGCTGGATCAGGCCCTTAGGGAGATGCAGGTTTCGTGTGGTCTGTTCATGAAGGGCACCTCTGAGATGGAGCTGCAGGAACCAGACAAGGCCAGCGTGCTCCAGGCAGCCTGATGCAGAACTGCACCCCTGGCACCCCCAGCAACACTCCCTGACACATGAAATACAAGAAAAATACAAGACCAAAAAAATTGGTTCAGAAATACAAGACCAGAGCCCAGCAGCCATGGTAAGAACCCATTCCTGAATTTTCGCAAGCAGGCATCCCACCCAGCGCTGCTCCATCCTGCCAAAGCAGTCATACAGCAGGGGGAAATGCCTCCAGCCCCTCACTCTTGCTCTAATGGGAAAATGTGGAGAGGAAAATGACCTCGGTGTAAGGGTAGGGATTAAGTGTGCATAGTTCTTGTGTACCAGAGCTGGACACTGCACGAGGAGGGCCAAACGCAGGACAAAAGGGGCAGAAAGGCTCTATCACCTGCAGGGCAGAGCTGATGCCCAAAATTACAGCCGGCAGCCCCTCCACAGAGCCAGTCAGCATCAGCTGGGGACAAAGTAGCCTGGCTGGATTGAAGAAGCAGAAAATGCACTTTTGGAGCAAAATCACACCTTTTGTTGACAAATGCCAGCTTAAAGGGGTTTAGCAGGGCACAAAGCCCCGTTCTGCCTCTCAGCCCCTGCCTGCAAGCAGGGAACACGAATACAGAGAGCCGGGGGGGTGAGGAAGAAAGGGGCAAGGTTAGGAAGGGCCAGAACCAGCGGGCTCCATCCTCAGCCTCTTCCCCTCCTTTCCCCCCGCACTCAGCCGCGGGCCGGGCTCCAGCCGCCCCCTGGCGGCCCCGCTGCTCCGGCAGCTCCCTGAGACCCCCCCCGGGGCTTTCAGGCAGCCCCCCCAAAAACCAGGCCCTGCTCTCACCCTGCTGGCTCCATCCCAGCTCCCCCAGTGAGCTGCAGCCGCCTCCTCCTCACCTTTGGGCTGGTCCCTGCCTAGTTTTGGAAGGAGCCAAGGCATCTCTGCTCCAGACCACACCGCTTGGACTTGTGGATTGATGCTGGTTTTTTTTATTATTATATATATTTTTTGCTGGTTTATCTCAAATGGGAGCCTGCAGGTGAGGCCAGGCCAAAAGCAGCCCAGCTGTGCCAAAAGCAGCACCAGGCTCGGTTCAGGGGCCAGAAACCCCAGGTGTTAGTCTCTGTGTCAGACAAATGAGCTGATAAAAGAACGGTGCTTGACTGCTAAAAGAAACGAAGAGGATCACAGTTATTTCATAAGTTTATTTCACACAGGCTGGTCACATCAGCCTTGACAAGGTCACATACACAAAAGGTTACAAACACTCTCCTGGGAGCCCTAATGAGAGCAGTCTGCTTTACGTTCTCAGGCGATGTGGGTGTTGTTTACCTGCGTTGAAGACAGTGACATTAACATCGCACATCAGATGTCTACAGCACTTTGCAGGGCTTAACTAGTTAATCCCCATCACAGCTCCAAGCAATTTCTGCTTAGACATCATTATCCTTCATTTTATATAAGGCAGGTGGTGGGATTTCTCTGAGCACAGACTCCAGCAGTGCCCAGTCTCCCAGCTGGGGGCTGGTCTGCCCCCACTGCTGTCTGCTGCAGGTGGGTGAGCAAGGTCTGTGTGTGCAGGCAGAAAAGCTGGGCTGCAAAGTGCTCATCCAGCTGACAGGAGGAACCCCACGATCATGTTATCTCATTATCATCTCATTTGGTTAACGAGATCGACACATCCCATGGGCAGCAGGCTGCTTTGCTTCAAACAGGGCTGAAGCCTGATGGATTGGCCATCTCTGGCTCATTTTGTCTGCTTTGTTTCTTTGTGTACAGAGGAAAACTGCTGGGTTAAAAGCCTTGTAGGCCAGTGCTCCTGTTTATCTTGTAATTTTGTACAAGAAAGGCAGGCTGTGTGTAATCTTACCTGACAGTGAGTCAGCCCTGGGCAGAGGAGCCACCTCCATCCTAGGTAGTTTCCAGCATCCTGACATGCCCACCCGCAGACATCTCAGAGCAGGTGCCTTTCACAACACAGCAAACAGGGCATGAAGTGCACATGCAAGCCCCACACGGTTTTGTCAGACTGCAGTTAACCAGCTTGGTACTGTCATTAATAGTGCAGGACCAGAAGCTCCCACAGTCACAGCTGCTATCAGAATACCAGATTTCAATGCAGACAAGGATTTTAAGTTTTTCCTCAGTCCTTGTATCCTCTCCTGGAGGGCCAGTCTGACTGTACAGCTCCTGGGTCACTGCAGTAACCTTGCAGCTGTGGTTTCAGAAGCACACAGGGCCACCATCACAGCCACCAAGTGATCAGGAAAAGATGCCCTATTATTTGGGTGCCCCCAACTCTCCTTTAGAGAGGAGCCCAGGACCACCAGAGTGCAGAGGAAACAGCCACAGCCCTGCACGGAGCTGGTAGCAGCTGAAGGCAGCACCACACACCCTTCTTCTCCTCATAGCTAGACGATTAACTTCTAAGTGTCCCAGTGAAATCCTGTCCTGAGACGATTTGAAAGATAAGAAAGATCTCAGAGACCAGTTCAAAGAGCCTGGAGGGTGAAGCAAACTGTGCAGACAGCGGGACAGCCAGGGGAGCAGCACCCTTGTGTTGCAACGAGGGCAGAAACTCCCTAGAACAGCCCAGACAGCAGCAGGGTGTGCAAGCCTTGCTCTGACTAACACAGCCAGCCAGGAAGCCCACACCATGGGCTCAGCACCTGGGGACAGAGCTGTGAGAACAGCAGCTGCAGAGAGCACCCACTGTGCCTGGGTGGGCACAGCAGGGGGACCCTGACTTGGCCACAGACTTTGACATAGGAAGCTCAGGGCTCCCCATGTTGTGCAGTGACTGTTTCACATGGAGGGCTCTGGTGATGCTTTGGTACTGTTTCCTAACTAGTATGAGAGAGAAAACCCGGTAGTGTGAATGTGAAAAGATGCCCTGCCAGCAGGAAAAGCCCCCACAGCAGCAGCCCCAAATCCAAGCGCTGGGGCTTTTGCTTCGGCAATGAGAGCTCTGCACGGTTTAAAGCAAGGAGCAAAGCTACCACCACAGGGAGCTGTAGAGGCAGCCTCAGCCTTGCCAAGCTCTTCGATTAGCATAACTATTGAATACTCACTGACCCAGAAAGGCTGACCCTATCCACCGACTCGGGCTGTGGGGGACCCTGACAGCCTCACCACCGCTTTCAGTCCCTTCCAGGAAAAGCCTCCCTCATGAATCGTGGAAATGTTCCTACGAGGGGAAAAAAAAAAAAAAAAAAAAAAAAAAAAGCTGAATTCCACTTATCGCCGTGAAACGGTCTATGAACTTTGAGGAAAAGCTATTTAATTAAAATAAAAGCGCTTTCCCACGCCTGCTCCGCGCACCCCGGGAAGGGAGCGGCGCCCCGGCGGCTGCAGCTCCGCGGGCGCTCGGCTGGCTGCGCTCTCGGCTCTGCTTTGGAAGCGGCAGCGCTGGAAGCTGAACTCATCCCCGAGGCAGCAAGGAGCAGCAGCAGGTTCCTGCAAGCCTGGCATGGAAAATAAAATAATAATAATGAAAAAAATCAGCAAGTGAGCAGGGATGGGGGTGCGAGGTAGAAGATGCTCAGCTTCAGCTACCTGGGTGTCAGTGCAGGGGGTTAATGTAAGGGGTTCCTGGGGAGCACTCTGCTGCCTTAGTAAAGTGCTTCAAGTCTTTCTAATCCATTGCAACAGAAAGCAGCCCTCCTCTGTGCTCCCCTCCCAGGTCAGGCATCAGCCTTCTTTTACATGAAAAAGATCTCCTGACTTTTTCTTGCTGTTGTGAAGTTTGGGAGCGGCCAGGACAGGTGGGGATGCACAAAGAGGAGGACAGAAGTGCTCAGCCATACGGAGCATACACACAGCCCTGCTCATTCCTTCACCGAGCACCCCCAAGGTACGAGTCCTACCCCAGGGCTCACTTCCCAGGCTCAGCAGCATCCTGCTCTCTGGGAAGCCAGAGAAGGCAAGCCTCTCTTGGCAAGGGAGAAAAGGATCTGGGAGACGACCTCAGCTCAGGTGACCCCGCAGCCCCCATTACTAACAGCAATAAATCCTCCTGTGTCCTCACCACGACATTCCCAAGCACTCCCCCTCTTGCTGGATTGGGGCCTGGCTGTATAAAGCATGTCAGTGCTGGCCAGGGTTGGAAGGTAAATAAGTCAGCCAGCTGTGTATCTATCAGTTTGTTGTTTTTTTTTTTTTTTTTTCTTTTCTTTTCTCCCTGAGAACAGAGCTGATTTTAACCAGTGCAGAGCTGGGCACAAACTGGCTCTTTGGCTTTGCTGGGCTCCCATGGGACCAACTCACCCAGGCCCCATTCTCCAGGCTCACCAAGCTCCACGGGGCTCTGCCAGGATCCCCTGGGTGGCAGCAGGAGCTCTATGCCTCATCCAGCTTCTCTTAGCCTGGCTGTGCTCTGTCTCTCCGCACATCCTGAGTTACAGAGGACAGCACATTGCCACCTGCCACAGAAGGACAAGACATCAGGGCTGGCTCCTACATCATCCCCATTCTCTGCTTCCACCTTCTCACCCTACACCTTCATCAGCCTCATCCCCCCAGCACCCTGCCCCTCCTGCACATCCTGGCCCACCTCCTCCTTTCCACAGATCACCCCACCACCACCTCCTCCTCCTCATCACAAGTCCTTTCCTGCTGGCTTGGTTATCTCTCAAGATAAGCCTGCCAAGGAGGAACAAGAACCTGCTCCCCACACAGGGGGAAGCCCTCTGGCAGGGCACATTACCTCAGCTCGCCACCATCCAGCTTCAGAGCTCAGGTCAGCATTAGGCAGGGGCACTGGGCATCCCTACCAGGGGATGGGAGCTCCCAAACACCCCCCTCCTGCAACATATCTCAGCTCCTAAGTGCTTGATACCCACCCAACCTGGTGTTTTATATAAGCTATTGCTAATAGCCGCCCCAGGGCTCACCCCCGTGGTGGCACAACAAGCTGCAGAGCCCATGAATCACACCTGGTGCAGCTCTCAGCTCCTCTGCCAGGTGGAGAATCACGAGGCACAGCCGCGATGGCGCGGATAAGGGTGACACAAGCCCGTTCCCACTTCCAGGTGCCAAGGGATCACCCCTGCAGGTGACAGGCTTTGCATGGGGGATGGCACAGGGGCGCTGCCAGCCGGCTGGGTTGGGTGAATCACACCTTCCTGCAGGTTTCTCCCCATCGATAACGACAGGAGCCTAGATGGCTGCTGCAGATACTGGCACCTGTGCTGCCGTGCTGACAACCGAGCCCCCGGCCGCCTGCGTGGGCTCTGCTCCATCACTGCACCTACCCACAGAGTGGCCTGTCACCCTGAGGTGACACTCCACAAAGGCCCAGGCCACCGAAGATTTGCAGCCCTTGGGGTAGGGACCCGAGGGCCCTAAGGTGCTTTTAAGAGATTTCTGGACCTTTCGTTAAGCGATGTTTGCTGTGCGTGGTGCTTCTGAAGCTCCTGGGGCACCCCTAAAATTCACCAGACTGCCACCTTTTTCTCAGCTCAGTCCTCAAGGCCTGATTGCCAATGCCCGAGTCCCACCCAGCTTTCTGAAATTCAGCAATATTATCCTTGGGAGCAGTAAACTCAGACACTTAGGGCTTGCATGTACTTAACCTAAACAACAAGCTGAGGGCTTCCAAGAGATATTTCCTCCCCAGCCCAGCTACCCAAGGACGTGCGTGCCTGAGTGACGATGCTGGGTAGCATCAGGATATTTGCCATCATCTCCAAACCTTCCTGTTCAAAAAATGTCCACTGGTGCCTCCATGGTTCATCACTGCCTTATGTTTGAAATGGATAGAAACAGTCTCAACTCCTATACAGGGGAATATCACCCCAGGGTCACATCCATCACCTCTTTACCCTTGTGCAGCCGCTGTGTTCAAGCTGAAGCTCCCCCTTTTCTGTTCCCAGTGCTCAGATACCCCTCCCCATATGTTGCTTTGTTGTATTTTATTTTATTTTATTTTATTTTATTTTATTTTATTTTATTTTATTTTATTTTATTTTATTTTATTTTATTTTATTTTATATTTTATTTTATTTTATTTTATTTATTTATTTATTTATTTTTCCTGCTTCAAAAGCCATCAGTTTCCACTGCCAGAATATTTCCCAGGTTTTAGGCAAAGTCTGTGCTAAGATTATTGTTCAGAGGGTGCCAGCTCTCTCAGTTGCTCCACACTTCTGGCTGGAATGCCCTTCATTCTTTTTTTTTTTTTTTTTTTTTTTTTTTTCAGGAATGTTGTGAGTAAATTCAGGGCTGAACAACAGGGTGAATGGGAACCCTCAGAGCAGTGGGCTGCCCACGTTACAGGTATGGTAATTCCAAACTGATCCTCCTTTGTGCTGATAACAGGGCTTGCTATTGTTTTCCTGAAGTCCACATGTCCGAAAACACTGCAGGCGCAGATAATCACAGCGAGCACATGCTTCTGAATCTGTTTCTAAAACATGCCTGGGATTTAAGCTTTTTTTAGAAATCATGACCCTGGTTCTGCTTTTTCTAAATTCAAAAGCAAAAATTCCCTTGGAATGAAGAAGGATCTAGCTGTTGAATACAATTTATAAAGGGGCAGATATGCCTGTCTTTTGCTTTCTTGTTGTAAATGAACAAAGCCTGAAAGCTAACTTTTCTTTCTTTCTTTCTTTCTTTCGTTCTTTCGTTCTTTCTTTCTTTCTTTCTTTCTTTCTTTCTTTCTTTCTTTCTTTCTTTCTTTCTTTCTTTCTGTCTCTCTCTCTCTCTCTCTCTCTCTCTCTCTCTTTCTCTCTCTCTCTCTTTCATTTAGATTTGCCTGGGTGCTTGACTCATGGTGGCAATCCTTCCATCCCGTTGCTGCTGGTGTGCCACTGTGCAGCCAAGAGTGCAAAATTCACACAGCTGAAGAAAACAAGCAAGGGACAGGTCAATGGGTTCTTTCAAATGCTATTTTACCAGTGAAAACCAGTGGACTTTCTGGCCTCTTTGTTTTCTAAAAACCAGCTAGCAGAGATTTGGGAGCAGTTTGCTTGGGCTCTGAACCTTCATTTTACCTTTGCTGGATGGGAGCCGTTTGCTCTGCAATCTCTTCATCATAAATGCACCAGCAAAGCATGTGAGGCACAATGGAAAACAGGGGAAAAATCCAAAATAAATCACTCTCCAGTTAAACATTTTTAGGATACAACAAGCTCTGCATGGGGAGGGATGGGTCCTGCCACCCCCAGCGGGTCACCCGGTCCCACACATCCACCCCACACCAGGTTGGGGTGCTCAGGGTGGCACCAGCCATGGGGCTGTAAACACGCTGCCACTCGGGGCCCGATTCCCCATCGTGTGCCACCGCCGTGCTGCTGATGTGCTGTTTGTCCGGCGGCTCCTGGTGTCCCAGCTCGGGGATTATAATTACATCTCACCTTACCCAGCTTTTTGGCTCGCCTGCCTTGAATTGCTTCCCCAGACCTGCCTGACTTGTTCGGCTGCTGCTACCAGACCTGCTCATTATTCAGCACAAGCCCCCACCCTCTGCCCTTTCGTGTGCCTTCATGTTTGTGCCTAAAAGCTGCAAAGGGACATTTTTTGGTAGGGGGGATGCCGATGAGGGTTTGCTGCTGCCCCCTGCTCCCTGGTCTCCGGGGGCCAGCCGTGGGGCACAGGGAGGTGTGCGCCCTTCGGCACACAGGGACAACAAACAGGCCGGCCCTGTAGGTGACTCACGTTGTTTCAAAATACGGAAAAATTAATGAGACGCTTCCTGAAACTTCAGTTCTGCTCCCACAAAGCACGTGAATGAGCACAAGCCAGACAAAAGCAAGGAGCTGAGGCAAGGGAGCGGGCACAGGATGGGGTCCCTGAGCCTACCCGCTTTCTGCCCCCACTACTGGTAGTTTCAAAGCCAGCCCCACACAGACAGGTGCGGGCAGTATTGATGGAAGCAGCCTCTCAGGAGAAAACTTTGCCCTCCCCAGTGATGCCAGCTCCCATCTCACTGCAGACATTGTCTTTTTAAGCACCACAACTCGGGCACTGATACCATGAATCCCCCCCCCCGCCAAACACAGGGCCGCTTTTCAGCTCTAGGTTTGATCCCTCTTGTTGCAAAAAAGGACTTTCTGTGTGCAGAGGAACACGCTGAAGGTTAAACATGACGCAAGAAGTTTCAGGGTGCCCTGGTTGTGCCTGAAGAAACAGCCGTGCAGCCCCACGTGCAGCAGCAGCAGCAGCACCGAGGAGCACTCCTGCAGCAGACGCCCTGCTGGCTCAGACGTCGGGTTTTGTGGTGCCCTTCAGACAATGACCCTGGACGGGGCAGCAGTTTCTGCACCCAGCTCCATAAATCCTGGAGTGACTCCTTCACCCAGCGGCTGATTCACCTGGGACTGGAGTGACGCCGCGATTTACGAGGCGATTCCCAGGGAAGGTGAATGGGCGAGCTGGGCTGAGTCAGATGCCAGCACCGCTGGGGGACTCAGCCCTCACGGGGGGGAAGAGGCTGGGCTCCCCAGCCCAGCTCACCCCGAGCTGTCACCCAGCTGTGACACGGTGCCCAGGAGCTGAGCCTTGCAAAGGAGCAGCTCGGGGTCTCAGGGATTCACTTCATGGGCACTTCACTTCCCCAGCCTCTCCCCGCAGGCATGCCTAAAGCCAAAAATAGGATCAGCTGGAGCAAAGGGGCTGGTGTCCACGTGAGAGGTGGAGGATTTCATTTGTGCTCCTGCTCTGGCTGGTTCAGAGGCTGCAAATGGCCCGTGAGGGAGTGCCCTGACCTTCCTAACTTTGGGCCGGTGGCTATTCCGGTGTCCTCCAGGCGTGCCTGCCTGGTACATCACCCGTCAGCCTCCCGCATCCCTGGCCAGGCAGTCCTGCTCCCGACAGCCTCACTATCTGCTCCACCTGGCCTGGCTCCAGCAGGTGGTTTCTCCACTCCCAGCTCCTTGCCCCACGCTGCTGGCTGATGTTTTTCCTGCAGGAAATTGGCTCCGCGGCTTTCTCTTTGTGTAGCTGGGTACAAACGAATGAGGGGAGTGGGGATCGTGAAGGTTTCATCAGATTTTTGAGATGCTGGCATGGGAGCAAGCCTGAACATGACCCAGCGAGGCACTTGGGACAGCAAATTCCAGGGGAGGAGAAACTGCACGAGAACAAAGGGAGTTTGTCTGAGAACAGGAGCACAAAGAAAAGTCCTCATTGTTTTAGCTGGAAGAGAGAGATGAAACTGTTTCTAAAGTTAGGTGAAGCTCCCTGCCTCCCAGTCATCCCTCATTTGTGACCCAAATTACACTGAGTCCTGGGGCAGCACCTACCTTTATTAAACTGAGTTATTTGCATCAGAAAAGAATCATCTAAAAAAAAAAAAAAAAAAAAAAGGCTCAGGCAAATGCTGCTGGTCTTTTCACCTGACTTCCTTTGAGATTACAGTCCAGGGGAGTCATCCCCTCCTTGCCACCGTGTAGCTGAGCTCACAGTCAGACTTATCAAGGCCAGGGACACGCAGGGGCTGTGGCAGAGGCAGAGGCAGGAAGCCTTCCTCCCACCCTGCTGCCAGCTTAGCCTGGCGCCCTGCCTGCTCCCCACTGAAACTGCTCCTGACCTTAACGGAAAAGGGGAGAGTCCTCCCGGGTGACTCACAGCCCCGAATATTATGTCGGGAAACGAGCAGTTTAGATCAGGAAATAAGCTTGCTTTCGTTTTCGGGAGTGACGGTTGTTCTGGATGGGGATCAGGTGCCTTGTTTATCCATCCGGAGACAGGGCTCAGCTGAAAGTTTTGGTGGGTGGTGAGAGTCTGTAGCCGCAGGCTGCCACAGGGCATTTTCAGACCTGAAAATCTGATGGCATTTTCAGCTAGGAACAGTCAGGAGAGATCGGGATCTTTTCTGGATGTGAACTGACATGAGCACCC